GTGGCGGGCGCTTCCTCCTCTTCCTCCCTTCTTTTTTTTTTTTTTTTTTTTTTTACAGTCTCGCAGTGTCGAGGGCACCGGCAGTACCTCTGGGCCGTGATTCACGGTCACTGAGACGGGTTAAAAAAATAAAATGCCAAAGTCCTTTGAGGTGTTAAACCTCTGGGCTCCAATGGTCGCGTATTGCAGCGCCAGCTTGGTCGTTGGGTATGGTCTGGAAAGAGGACGCGTGCTGAGTGAGGGTCCCACAGGTGGATAGGCTGCGAGTCGTGGCGGTATCGTTCAGATCCATGCGGAAGCGCCTTTGCCCGGCAGGGGAAGCGGGGAAAGCCCTCGTTCAGCTGCTTGTCTGGGCTCTGCCTCTCCACAAGTTGCCCAGAACCCCGCTGAGAAAGGCTGCGTTGAGGAGAGCGGTGTGGCTGCCGGGGTGCAGCTGGCTTACGGCCTCCCCTGGCCCTGCACGCCAGAGATGCTGAGGCCCAGGCAAGCTCCTTGCTTAGGATTTAATGTATGCATGAGGGAAAACCGTGGTGCATTTAAAAAGACAAGCAGTTACGAAATTGGCACTGGGTTGGTGGGTGCAGCGGGAAATGGGGACAGAGGAGGTGCCTCCTGGGGACGGGGTTGTTAGCTGGGTTTGTGTAGGGGTTGCCATAGCAGCTGCCAGCAGCTCCGAGCGCTCAGGCAGGCTTAAAAACCCCCTGGAGATGAAGCAAGTGCCTCGGTCGGTGCTCGGGGCCCAGCGCTTTGCAGCAGGACCTGCGGCTGTCGTGTGAGAAGGAGCTTAACCTGTCCCTCAACGTGTGAGTTCCCACCTGCAGCAGTCTGATCAGAGAGGAATGGCAGTTATGCAATTAGAAATAAAGTTTTGCTAACGGGCAACCTTAGAGGACCTTTTGTAATTTTGTAGCAGCTTAGATCTTCTTATTTTAAATTAGCAACCAAAAGTAGATTTTTTTTTTTCCATTTCCTTGCTAGTCTATCATATTGATGCTATAACAGGGATAAAAATACTGAAGGTGTGGTTGGTTGTTACAGTGTTACGTTGTCCGGTCATTTTCTGTATTGTTGATTTAGGTTGATTTTTGTGTGGTGGCCGAGATGGAGGAGACTGTGGGAGGTGAGACTGAGTTAGGGGGAAGAGTCGAGCCTAGTTCTTCTGGTCACTCTGCACA